TGCTTGGCAAATTGTTATCGGCATCATCATTGTTGACCTAGAGCACAATTATACAAGACTGTGTAAATAGACTGTTAAAAATTTTTATAAACTGTTGAAATACTTTATAAACTTTTATCTCTCAAACCTCTTTTTCTTGGGTCTCAGTCTCTTATTTGTCGCCCTGCAAGGAAATGATTGATTCAGCATATAAACTGTTAAAGTATTTTCTAAGATACAAGATGTTTATAAAAAAAAAATTATAATTTTTTTTAAAATGGCTTCTTGCTTACCTTGGCTTAGAAATTATAAGATGTTTATAAATTTTTTAAAAATGGCTTTTTTATCTTGGCTCTCTTTTTCTTGAGTCTCCTTCTCTTGTTTCTTACTCTGCAAGAGGAAAATTAGATGCAGGATGATTAAGATTTTATTAAAAACATTAATAAATAACAAATTTGTTACAATCTACCTCTGGTTGTTCATCTGTTTTGTGATATTCAATTCCCAGGACCTTTTCTATTGCTTTTACTCTTTGTTCCAGTTTTACAAGCAGCGTGATGATCATGTCCAGCTTCTGGTCCTTTGTCATGCCATGGAAGTTGATTTGTTCTGAATGCTCTTGAAGCGTCTCGTAAACCATCTGTGTCGTTTGTTGATAATTTTCCTCTAACCCTTGACACAGATCAGTAATATCTATTTTTCCATTGATCTAGTAAGAGGCCTTCATCCTCAGTCTACCTAGCATAATAAGGTTAACCATGTCCATAAACGGAAGATCATCATCATGCGTTTCTGAATCCAAATGCTTGTAATATTCTGGATCGCCAACAGTTGCATTAACCTGTACCTGGAAAACAAATTCATTCTTTTTATAAACGAATGTTCTTTATAAAAAAACTATACAATATTATTTAAAAATCCTTATAAAAATTATACAATATTATTTAAAAATCCTTATAAAAACTGTACAATATTATTTAAAAATTCTTATAAAACTGGGTCAAAGCACAGGTATAAGGATGATTTGTTAGCCAATAAGCCAATAAATAAAGAGAGCAGGAACTTACATGACCTCTTTTTTCGATAAGCACAATGTATGTCATTCTTGAGGCTTCAGTGCTTTCCCATCTTAAACACAATGGAATTGTTTCTTCTGCCCCTTCACATTTGGTAGCAAATTTTTCGCCAAAGATTGGAACTACGCTGAGTGCCTATAAGTGAACTGCCAGAACGAATCCTTTGACGTTGTACCGTTCTTTTGTCCATGTCTCTGGACCCATCTTTGATACACAAGAAGAGATGATAGCGAAAACATCTTTACCCCAAGGTTGGCAGTAGTATTGATCAAAATCTGAAGCGTATTTTAGGCGGTAGTATGGAATCTTCTCTGTTGAACTCACGCCTATCAAAATACCTTCAACCAGTACAACTAATCCAAGGCACTGCTTCTCATCATCTTCCATTTCTTCTGTTTGCAATATTTTCAGCAGCTCGCTGCGTAAAATTTTTTTATTCTGCATCCAATGGTAACGAGGCATAGTTGGTCTTTTGCCTTTTCTAGTCTTTTCACATTCCAATTCTTCACAGTGAACACATGCGTACACCAGTAGTGAAATTGTATTATTTAAAAATCCTTATAAAATCCTTTAAAAACCTTTATAAAATC